ACAAATGGCACCGGAAATTGGCCCAAAATATCGTGCTATGCGAATGAACTAGATGGAGGATGAAGTTCATTCTCCCGTTACTGACTCACTGTTTCCAACCCCTACCACTCCTCTCTCTCTCTCAAAACTCCCCATGCACGGCCTGCTAGCTGCTCTGCACAGCTCCCTGCCGGACAATCCCAAGTACCAGCGCTAAAACAGCGCAGCGTTCCGTCCCTGCCGAGCTGCTAGAATTTTGTCTCTGTATCAGCCATGGCACAGCGCAGTTTTAGGGATAGATGGCCGGTTATAGTTTCACGGCTCCATCCTGCTACAGCGCGACCAGCCCGGCTAAACCCGGCGCCGGTCTCGGCTCAAAATTTTAACTGGGTAGGGGTGAGGGTAATATACATACATGTGCTATGTGCGCATATCGTATTTGATTTTAAAATGTACAATTAAATTGTATTTTCTATTTCACTAATATTTTTTACCTGATTGGCATTGACTGATCATGCTACTACTACTAGGCTGGATCAATGATCATCAATCTTGAATATATGAACGCACATTCCCAGAATTCTACCCTAATTATTTGATGGCTATCTATATTGTGTAATTCCAATTTCCAATTATAATGATTATCGTTCTTTGGCCTGAACACTCTGATGAAACTTATTCATGAATCACATTTAAAATATCTGCATCATTTAAGTATACATAAGACACTGTAACTTCTAAGTCTCTAGTACTGACAAGTGACAACTGAAATTATTCATTACCTAGTCCTAATTTATTATATGAATCATGAAAGCCAATTTTATCAATAAAATAGCTAATGGGGTGTTTGTGCATTAATGGTGAATTAAGACTATATAGTCAAAATGACAAAATCTATCAACTTTACTTCAATTGTACAATTTATAAAAACAGTGAGAAAATTTTGAACCTGTCAGTAGACGAGAAGTTTTAAAATAATTTTGGGTAACAAGCTAGATAAGTCAAACATCTTGTAATCCTAATTGCTCTACAAAAAAATTGTTTTTGAGAAAAACTTGTTCAAGAAACATTGCAAAATCTTCTACTAGGACAATGTATCAGTTGAAGCTTAATGAGTATTATTATTATTATTATTATAATGCAATATTATTAATTTTCTCAGACTTAGACTGAGAAATATACCCAAACGTAGAGACAAATTTTTCAATTCTTTAACTTGGCAGATGGGAAATAATTTTTTTGTAATGTAGGTATATACATGTTGTGTTGAGTGATGGAAACATAAGTACTGTATAGTTTCAGTCCTGTGTAATGTTGCATTCTTTTGTTATCAAAGCATTAAATTTTAGAGCAAAAACCCTCCTAGCCCAGCTTATCAACTGGGAAAAATCAGAATTTGTGTCATAAATCTATTTTTGCATCCATTCAGCATTTGATTGGTAGATCAATTTAATTTAAGGAAGTGACTTCCATGCCAAATGATATATTACCAAAATTGAGTCAGTTGGAAATTTTCAATTGTTCATCGTAAGTTCAGGTGACTAATGTATGAAACTTCAAGTGGAACCTTACTTCCAGAGACATTCTGAGTTCATTTTTAGCCAGATTTAATATTGTCCCATGAATTGCTGTACAGTTGGGGATTGTCATGTAAACGTCCTAGTTTCTTTCTACCCCCCATTACAAGAAAAATTTATCTCTGTTCATATTACATACATTTATTACATGAATGAATGGAGTTCACAAAAATTTCCTAGACTGAATAGTTTAATTTCGTAACTTTGAATTATCTGACTTCATACCATTTCATTTTTCAGGTTAGGCCGTGCCTCTAGAGAAACCCAGGAAGATGAACCTCATTCTCGCCTGCTGATTGCTGCACCTAAGGCAACCCACAGAAGCTCTTGGTCCCACACACAAGGAAGTATGTGTACCGACACTGTTTCTTCCAGTCCAGCATCTGACCCTGGAGCACTGTGGATCAAGAAGCCGTCCGTGGTCGCCTCCACCTTCAATGCAATCGAAACATCAGTGAAGCTGCTGTAATATAGACCGTTCCATGCTTTTAAAAAGCCAAAATCTGTGATGTTCTTAAATCGTTTACAACGTCCCAGAATATGCTCGCGTTTCCTGGGAGGTTCCACTTGGATGATTTTCCATCGAGCCATCAAAGTTTCAACATCATAATGAAGAGGCTTTTTCTAACATTTTTTAACGTTTTGGTCCTTCATGCGCACAACATATATACGAGAAAACGAAACTATTCTTATATGCGACTAACATGGTATTTATTATGATTCAATGCAACTTAATAAAAAGATGTTCATGTTATGAGGGTTGTGTAGTTCATGTGTAAACAGTTATCTCTGCAATTGACATGACAATAATAACTTACCATCAATCAAACAGACCAATTGTAGCAGTTCGCTTTCAATACCTTGTATTTTGGTTCTGTCTTCCTGAAACGTTTCAAACTGCAGTACGTAAATATCTCACGGTGGGCCATAATGAATAGTACTAAGTTAATGACTTTTAATTCATAACAAAGTATTTTTATTTCTTGTAAAACTAGAACTTATTCCAGCAGTTGCGCCAAAACGCTGGCAAACAACATTGAACGGTGAACAAGGAGTCCAAGGAGCTCCTTCCTGGACTTGGTAAACGGGCATTTAACAATCTTCTGTTCAGTGAGCTGCTTTAGACAAGACACGTGACGCAGCACCAAGTCTACGTCCATGCTGCTACTTCCTATACCTACCGGCTATCTCTGACCTCGATTCCTATACTCCTAAAATGTTCATACAATTCTAATACTGACTAATTATGAATTGACCACACGTATTCAGTAAAAGTCTAATTGATGAATAATAAAATTTAATCCAATTCCTTTACCGTGGATACCAATGCCAGTGGATAAAAAATCCATACTTTTGCAAGTTGCCAAGATTTAATAATATTCATGAAAGCGTTTCGATAAGAAGCCTATATAAAAACATGTACAGTGAATAGTAATATTGATTAAGTAGTGGGAGCAACCAAATTAGTTAACAAGGATTTGTTCTGCTTTACTGTTTCGTCTAGTAGAGAATTATCATGAACACCAAGGTATGATAACGAGACATAATTACAGGCTTATTTAATAACGTTCACACTCCTAACTCCGTTAGGAGTGTTAACTCCGTTAACACTCCTCAGTTAACACTCACTCGTTAACGGAGTTAACTCAGTTAACTCCTTGATGCACTGTCACAATTCCCAGAAGATACCAAAATCAATTCGAAGCACAATTTATTTAACTGATAAATAAGACGCATGATTCTTCACAGATGATCGCTTATATGCCTCATAATTTGAGCGAGGCAAATTGCAGATGCGATAGAATAAGGATGCTTACAGAAGATATTGCGATTGAAACGTATCAAAAATTATGAACACAGAATAACTTTGTACGGAAAAATACTAACGAACACATAATCAGTGCAATATTCGAGGCAGAAATGATTGTTTGCTGCTCTGCGACCAACGCACATTGGAATAATATCCAAGTACAAGCAGTAGTAGAAAGCAAGACATTCATTCCTTGCGAGATCGGGTTTAAGGAGTCTCAGGCACAATTTGGAGTCAACTTACCAACTCAATAGTTTGTTCAATTTTTTTACAAAAACTTTTTAGCTGTAGTTTCTTGTTAAGACATCGGATTCGTAAATTCAACCGCGTGCGAAAGTAAAATCTGACTGTGTGTTGAGGTACCAGTATATTGCAGGTTTAATCAATGTTGCTCATTAATTGGGCGGTAGCAGCAGGTCCCGGCTTCACTTCAACACCATGGTGCTGTCTAGAGGCACTCTTAAGACTTCCGGATTAGCTACGGCTTCATGAAGGTGAGGCCACCTTTGCTCACGTGCGCTATTCGACTCCCGGTATCGGTCAGATTTGAACAAACTAGGGGGAACTTGTGAGCAATGATACCAACAACATATTTAAAAGCTACCCTATCATTTTTAGGAACCTCCACATAGCAATCGGAAGTCTTCATTTGGCAGGCTTATATTTCTAAAGACATTATTTGTGAGGCATGGGATTTCTGAACGCTGTGATGCTGCTGATGCACTGAAGAAGAGTTTGATTTTGGAGTAGAGTTAGCTTTTGTAGGTAGGAAATATTTGTGTTAGGAGTTATTCTTGGAGTTAGCTTTTAGAGTAGAGCTTTTTTTAAAGAGAGTTTCCAACAAGTTTGTCAGGCATAAGTTGACAATGTATTGGAAAAGGTTCGTGGGACGGTCCTGAAAGAGGTTCTGGAGTCGGTCCTAAAAGAAGGTCACAGGATGGTCATGGCAGAGGTCGAAAAGTCGGTCCTGGAAGCGTTTCGCACGATGGCAACGGCAGAGCTTCACGAGATGTCCTTTGAGAGATTTGATTGAAGATCTCGGTAGAGGCTCGCAAGTAGTTCCTGGCAGAAGCGCAGAAGGTGGTAGCCGAGTCTCGCCAAGAACTTCTGCACATGGCCAAAATATTTATAGTTCAGAAATATAGGGGTTATATGATGGAGAAGCGAACCCGAAATTAAAGAATAAATTATCTCCTCCAAGTTCTATATATTTCTGAAGAGAGCTTTAGAGCTTTTTTTTAACAGGAGATAGTTTTTATAAAATTGGTTTAGGGGTAAAATTGATTATATCCTGATGTCGAATTCTGTAGTGAATATGGTAGTGCAAAGCCTCTAATGAAATTTATGTATGCAAGCATTAATTGTTATGGGCTTGAAAACTGTAATTAGTAATTGTGGTCATGAACAGTTGTGGCCATATTTATGCCCAAAGTTGTTTGGAAAGAAAAATTATAATATTCTAAATCATGCTTGGCCACTTAGAAGTTTTCTGTACCAAATAAATAATACATTCAAATGAGCACTCAAGCATGAAGTGATACCTTGGGGATGGAGTAGCTGTTTGTGAGGGAGAAATTTATATTTTGAACAAAATATTTTCTGCAAATGTAGAATGACAATAAATCAATAAAACATTCAATACTATTGTTATACGATGATTAGAATTGAGTGCAGGATCCCTACTGTTGATTGGTATTAACAAATAAGTTCATGCAGATACCTGATTGTATCACGACCCAAGCTTGCTCGAGGGAAGATGCGTTTGTAAATAGTATATAAAGTCATTCAAAATATTTTGTTAAAATACTATCAAAGTATGTACAGAAGATGAAAATTGTGTTCTTTGATGTCTGTTAGGTTGTGTGTTTTACCTTGAACAAGGCTATTTGAGTGTGCTTTGTATTGTTTTTGCAACGGCCAAAGGATTGCATTTTCTGCACACTCGAGGCTAACATTCACATTTGATATTAAATAAGTAAAATAAAAGCAAAAAATGTTCCATATGTCTTAAGCAAGGTAAATATTTACTATTGCAGAGTTGATCGCGAGGACTGAAGTAGCAAGGCCGTGCAAATGGAGGCTTCGTGCCGTGAAGAGCAATACCGTCCTGTGCTCTCCTCATGGCAGGGGCTTCATTCTCTGCAAGAAAAATATTTACTTAAGACTGGGTACTTTTCAGCAGTTACCTACATACTTTAATTTTTATTTCTAACCTTTAATTTCCGATTGGGGTTACATAAATACCATGAAATTAGTAATACTCAGAAGGTTACCATTAGAAAATTCAATGCATTTTCCCATTGTCGTGTGAAAGTGTCATATAACTTACCATCATTATCCAATATCTCTTGAGCTAAGCGTTTCATATCCCTCTTTAGTCAAATCTCAGTACTCGGGAAGATTTAGGCAATGTCAATAGATAAGGACATAAATAAAAAACTGATGAACATGTTTGACAATCTTCCTGGTAACAAATTATACATTCATGCAGTGTAGAATAAATTATATATCGGACACAATAGGGTAATTTATTCTCAGTCAAGATGTTGGCTATGTCCCAATCCCATATCAAATTCTGTAAAAAGTGCTACAATGCACTGGAGAGTGGATAGATTAGTCATCCTATATATACATACATTGAGTGTGTTTACTTGTCAATGGCAATTTACCACAATATTTCAATGCCTCTAACCAGAAGATAGTAATTACACAAAAAATGAGGGGAGAAAATGCCAAATAAAAATTGGCAGGAATAACTAAGGACCATAAAATTCCAAAGTTCACAATTGCTCTTTTAAAACTCAAACAATGTATTGGGCATTAACTTGGACTGTAATGCTCTGCAGTCTGCACCTGCATTACATGAAAGTTCATGGTCCTTCAATACTCATAAGTTGAACTACTAAAATAAAATATCTGAAATTGATTCAGCCACTGAAAAACTCACAGAAAAGATTGTTGAGGCTGGTAACCTCAGGTTGCTTGAAAAGAAACACAAATGTTGATGTTCACATGATTCATACCTCTTGTAAACCTGAACACATACAATAATTTAAAGGAAAATGAACAATGCAACCTTCAAGTCAAAGTTGTCACAAGTTAGACTTACAGAGGTACCTCATTAGTCAAAATTATTTTGCTTAGTTACTTACCAATTGTAGAATCATTTAGCAATGTGGCTGGCAGATGTTGATCTGGAATAGGATCTTCTTTCAAATTGCTGTTCTTGGTTCTTGCCACCATTGATGCCACCTTCTTAGTTCTTGCCACCATTGATGCCCCCAAAGTTCAAATACACACACTGCAGGATGCAGATAGAAACTGCTAACCTACTACATGTGGAAACTGGAAAGTATCTACTTCTCACATTACAACTGGAGCTTCCCTGCCCATCTGCCCAATATGGAAAAATTAGATTTCTGCCAGATGAATTAATTACTTTCCATCTTATTGTTTGTAGATTATGCATATCCTTTTCAAGTTTTCATGTGACTGATGGCTAATGAATGCAGTAGTTTTATCAAAATTAAAAATAATATTTGCAGAGTAATTAAAATACAAATTATTGGCCACTGCCACCCTTCTCTATAGTCTACAGGACTACACCAGCTAGGACGCTTGGCTACCACTTGCACTCACTGACTGTCTGACTCAGCCTGCCACTGTCACCTCCCACAGTCCCACTAATAAATTCAGCACATGGGATATATTTATTGCATTTTCGATCGCTTTATTCTATTATCAATCAATCAAAAACTTGAGTTTTCTCACATAGATCTTTCGTCAGTATTCCATTACCCACCTAAAAATATAATAGCACCAAAAATATTTCATACCGCATGACGCTTAAGATAGATAAAACAATATTGAGAGTCGGTGATATAATTTTCAGAACAACATGACAAGTAAGCCATGAACCAAATTACAAAATTAAAAAAATTTATAGCAAAGGATATTCTGGTTTAGCTTAGGAAAATAAAAATTCGTTAGAATTTCACTTCCTTTCATCGACCGTTAGCTGAGTTGCAGCCATACTCCTTCCCGTCCTTGTCTGTCGGCCCATCATGTTTCCCATTTATTCAATTTACACGCCACAAAACAGATCTGTAACACCGACTTTGCTTAAAATAACACTTGTTGCAGCAAATACAGTGTTTGGGCAATTTTGAGGAGGTCAAATTTTTTTAAAATATTTTCAAATATGACACAAAAACGTGTTGATCTTCACTGTTTACATTTTTGGCCCACGGTGACGTCACACGAGACATGCGCAGAACGGCGAGAAAATCGTCATCGCCGTGGGTCAACCTTGTATTAATTCAACCATGGTGCAGACGGTCTGACCCGATCCCAGCCAGACCCCCCTCCCCCTCGCCCCCCGGCTTCCCCCCCGCGCTAGCCACCACCCACATCTGCATCCTCCAGTTTAACTGCAATGCGATCCAATCCAGCGCAGCTAGACTGACTGCTTTCATCGCTAAGTACAATGTTGCGATTGCCTGTATCCAGGAGACAAAACTATCAGCTGCATCCTCCCCATAGCTTTATCGATTCTAGTCTGTTCTTGAACGCATTCAAACTCGGAGCGCCAACGACGTAATCGGGGAGGCTGCTCCACATGTCGGTGATCCGAAGCGATAAGAAAAGTCGCGTGGATAATTTGCAGCGCAGTTTTTTTTATAGCCGTGGCACCTGGTGTTGGTTCTTGTTTCAAATTCTAGTAATCATTCTGGGACCTTGTATAAACCATGAGTATACTTGTATACTTCGATGAGGTCCACTCGCAGACGTCGATAACAGAGGCTTGAAAGCTTCATCTCTGGTTCATAGCTCCGAGATTCAGGGCACAGGAATTAACAGCTTATAACTCTAAGCAAAGCGCTTTTCATAACATTTAAATGTTAGAAATAACACCTCGCGCTAATGTTGAGAGATGCCGACGTCGTGGCGGGCGTGGCTATTTTTTTCTAGCAACGTTTGAATTATTAACAATTGGCACGTGTTACAAACATCACCTGCACCACGTACGTCTAGCACATCACAGCGCGAGTGTTACTCACACCATCTGCGCCACGTCTAGCACATCACAGCGACTGTGTTACTCACACCACCAGCACCACGTCTAGCACATCACAGCGCGTGTGTTACTCACGTGGTCGACGCCACTGCCATTCAAGAGTTGACGATCGCGACTCCGGAGTCCAAATATTTGAAAACAAAAGTTTTGATACGCTAGTCAGTCATGACACATCATAAACAATCACTGCAATGCAAAGTTGTGATTCTTGTCGCCTGACAAATGTCCATTCCTCACACCTAAAATGATATTGCTAGATTAAATGATTCAGTTGAATAATTGAAGAGGGACGTACAGGGCCCCGCATCGGTGGCCAGCAGATAGCGGGGTAGCTGACCGCCGCCATCCTGCCCTTCATGATGACGTGCTAGCTGCAGTGCAAGTGATTTGTTGTATGAGACAATGCTGAAGTATGACCATGATACTGGAGGATGACCATGATGCTGGAGTATGACCATGATGCTGGAGGATGACCTTGATGCTGGAGGATGACCATGATGCTGGAGGATGACCATGATGCTGGGGATGACCATGATGCTGGAGGATGACCATGATACTTGAGGATGACCATAATGCTGAGGATGACCATGATGCTGGAGGATGACCATGATGCTGGAGGATGACCATGATGCTGGAGGATGACCACGATGCTGGAGGAAGACCATGATGATGGAGGATGACCATGATGCTGGTGGATGACCATGACGCTGGGGGATGACCATGATGCTGGACGATGACCATGGTGCTGGATGATGACCATGATGCGGGATGATGACCATAATGCTGGAGGATGACCATGATACTTGAGGATGACCATGATGCTGGGGCAGCAAGAGCTGCAACTGAAATGGAAACAAAAGTAGCAGCGCAGCAGGTGCGAAAATGCTAACACAGCGAAATAAACTGCAGCAGTGACGGGCACAAACAACAGCAAAATGGCACATAAAGCTACAGCATCAAAAACGAAAACTGCTACTGAAATCCATCCTCATAGCCGAAGACAGCAGAGACATGAGCTGCAGCCATAGACATGAGCTGCAGCAGTCGCCGACAAGACGACGAGTTTTCGAACAACAACAAAAGTTACATCAGCAGCAATAACACCTCGTATCCGCGGTACGAGGCAGGAAGTTACGTAAGAGATTTGTATTGTATCTACGATCCGAGACTGGAACTCACGTAAGGCGTGCGTGTTGTATCCAAGATACGAGACTGGAACTTAAGAGAGTCATTTGTGTGGTATTCACGATCCGAGACTGGAACTTATGTGAGACATGCGTGTTGTATCCACGATCCGAGACTGGAAATTACGTGAGGCGTGCGTGTTGTATCCACGATACGAGACTGGAACTTACGTGAGGCGTGCGTATTGTATTCACGATANCGTGCGTATTGTATCCACGATCCGAGACTGGAACTTACGTGAGGCGTGCGTATTGTATCCACGATCCGAGACTGGAACTTACGTGAGGCGTGCGTGTTGTATCCACTGTACGAGACTGGAACTTATGTGAGGCATGCGTGTGTAATCTTAATTTTTACTTGCCACCTGCACGTGTTAATGTGCTTCTACACGGGGCTATTAGTTGCGTCTACTAGGCGACGCAACTGAAATTTGTGATGTTTGACGTGTTCAGAGGCAATTACAGTAGCAGGTTCATTGCAGGAAGAGCAACTCGATTGTTATGAAGCAGTCTACTGTGCTCAGTAACGGCCCGGCCGTCATACGGAGTGCAGCTGCGTCGCTCTCTCTCTCGCCCACTGTAGCGGGCACTGCTGTCGAGCTCTCGCATGCCTCCACCGTACACACCGTTACTCGACAACTCCCAACGTCGCACTGACGCGGGCGCAGTGTACCGAAAACACCATACTCGTGTATAGGCTCTCAGCCTTCAAAACTGTAGTAGACGCAACTAATCGCCCCGGGTATAAGCACCTTTACTCACACCACCTGCACCGCGTATAGCACCACACAGCGAAAACGCCCTGACATTGAAGTTATTGGTTTTTAACTCTTAAATTTTACCAATACTTACTTAATACTTACTACTACCAATACTTAAATTAAGTCTTTATCTGGCGTATACATACACGTACTAATACTGAAGATTTTTCCTGTAGGATTCATCAATTCAATGCTGTTCTTCCATATCATGTTCACTATCAATTCGTTAACTTCACAAATGAATAAGCTAGTTTACTGGGGCACATTTACAGGCAGACCGCGCGTTAGGAACCTCTAGCTGCGCTATCTCGAATGACGGACACGTGGCGCTGATAATGGCGTGGTGGGCATAAGTTTGACGGCAAAAAAGTCTGACGGTTATATATTTTACCAGTAAATTCACGTTACATAACCAATATGACAAAATTTTACTGTTAATTTTAAGAAACATTTGTGTTGTATTATTTATGTACGGCACAACTTTACCGACTGAGCATGTGATAATCAATGCAGTGTCAGTGCCAGGCCCACTTAAATCACTTATGCCAATGAGGAGGGCAGCATTGAAATCAGCGCTATGAGCTGCGTTGATGGAAAAAATCTTGCCACTATCCATTCGTTGACTACTAAGAAATTTCAATTGAATTTATCAGCCATTGTCTGCGCTGCGTGTTGCCAGCTTGCTACAGGAAACAGTATATTTGCTGACCAATGATTAGAGTGTTGCGTGGTAAGAGTGTCCGTGGATTAAAGCTCTTCTGTTATGACGGGGCTGGCGAGAGAGTGCCGCTGTCTGCGGCTAGGAACGTGCCGTGAATTTCAGAGCGCTTGCAGGTTTGATTCAAGCTCAGATTGAGAAAAAAGAATGAAGAACTTGCGATTGATATATTTCATGTGGCTCAAATCAATGACAAGACGACGCCGCGTTCGTCTCAAAGAGACGAAGTGACAAGGAGGGACAGGTGAAAAGCAACAGAAACTAATACACTCGAACAAGAGGTCGCTTACACGAGACGTCGGCTGCCCGCACGAGAGCGACAGAAAAGGGAAATGTAAGGAATCCTACATACATAATAACTTAACCCCACAACTGAGACCTGCAGTCAGACACTGTGACCTCAGCGGTGGGTCGCTCAGGAACAATCCCCTAGGAGCGCGAAATCCCATAGGACTTCTGACGAGCACAGACACACGTCAGTATTCCCCATTGGGGGCTTGACGCGAGTTCAAGTGGGCAAAAAGGCCCAGATCCACGCTTTTGCATAGGTGGCTGCTGCAACGGCCGCAATAACGGAGTAGATTCCAATCTGGTCGATAGCCTACAGTAGAATGAGTATTTCCGACAATTGGAAAACATCTATTATGG